AAATTATTTTAAAAATAAAAAAAATCCAAATGGTGGTGCCATGGTTTGAGTAAATTATTTCGAAGGTTTGGATACTATAAAGACTACAAAAAATTTTAATTAGTAATTTAAAAATTAATAAAATGATAATAATATTTTTAATTTGAAATTAGCATGTAGTTTGATTTGTAAATGTTAACAACATGAGAAAGTTTATTTTAAAAATCATTTTCACTCAATAATATTTTATATGTTAAATAATTTTTAAGTATTATCATTTACTTATTTTTTTTAAATTTTTTTAACGCATGCATTACAATGGTCACGTGCTAGTTTTGTAAGAATCTAATAACCATTTATGTGAAATACTCTTCATTTTTTTTTTGGTGTAACATACTTTTCAAATTTTCGAGGGGAAAAACTCTTCAATTAGTGGCATGAGATTGAATTTTTTTACAACAAATTTGTGTTGTTCCATTCCATTATCTTAATATCATTTTTGAATTTTATGTGTGTTAATATTACTTTTTTGGTCTTCAACTATTTCGTGACATCACATGGATTTGGCAGTTAAAGTGGAAAAAATTGGATTACGCAATATAATTACAAAATTCTATTAATTATGGCGAGCCATGTTAGCTAGCCTTCATAACGCGCACAAGTATGTAATGGAGTACGTGTTTACAAATTTTATTGAAGTTTAAGAAAGTTAAAGTTGAATGCATGTGCCTTAAATAAAATTGTCTATAGTAAAATAATATCTATGAGTAACTAAAAAAATAATGTTTTTAAATATTATATATAATATTTTTACTTACACTTTGTATGGAGAAATTGGGCCACCTCATTGAAGATGAAGTTAGAGAAGGGAATTGGAAACCAGTCAAACTATCCAAAGAAGGGCCATCGATAACTCATCTTTTCTTCATGGATGACTTGATTTTGTTCAGTGAAGCCAGTAGAGATCAAGTGGAGACCATTGCAAAATGTCTTGAAAAATTTTGTGAGATGTCTGAACAAAAAGTGAACAAAAGTAAAACCAAGATGTGTGTGTCCAAACATGTTCACTTCTCAAGGGCTATGGATCTAAGTCAAAGATTAAGTGTTGGGCTAGCAGCTAGCCTGGGAAAATATTTGGGAATTCCTCTCCTTCATCAAAGGCTTTCAAAACACGACTGCAGTATCTTATTTGATAAAGTTAGAGGAAGAATCTCGAGAAGGAAGAGTGAATTCCTTAATAGTTCTTGAAGAACAATACTTGTAAAATCTGTGCTCAATACCCTTCCAACATATCTCATGCAAACAATGCTTACTCTCCAAAGGGATTTTAAAGGAAATTGAAAAAGACAGTAGAGATTTCATTTAGTCTCTTGGAAGGAATTGCAAAAAGGAAAAGGAAAAGGGAGGCTGGGAATTAAGGATTCATGCATTCAGAATGAAGTAGTCATTATGAAATTATGCTGGAATTTAGCAAACAAAAGAGGTGCATTATGGGTTAAAGTGATCAGATCAAAATATAAGGCGGCCAAGCCTATCATTCCTGTTGTCAATAGGAAAAGAACTGCTTCGAAGACCTGGAAAAGCATAACAAAAATCTGGAGCAAATTCTTAAAGGGGATAGAAAGCAGAATTGTGACAAATAGTGGGATTTGATCTTGGGCGGATAAGTGGAATGACATGGAGGCTCCTCTTTTCAATTTAATCCTGAACTTCAATCAGAGGATAAATATGGAGGATAGGGTGTCTGATTTTATGAAATCAGATGGGACTTGAAATTGAAGCAAAATGGAACCCTGGCTATCATCAGACATAATAAATAGGATACACTGTTGGCTCCTTTTCTATAAAATCTGCACGTTCTTTTATCTTTGCAGGGTGAAGACCAATCTGATCATTGTGTGGAATTCAATCTGGAGAGCAAATATTCCAGAGAAACTGAAGACCTTTTTATGGTTCCTAGAGAAAATCAAGCTACACTCTGAGAAAGCTCGAAGGGGGATCAATGAATCGGCAAGCTATCCTTTTGGCTGTATTGATGATGAAACAAGCTTACATGTGATGAGAGACCGTCAAATTACATGTGATATATTGAAGGATTTAGTAGAAGAAGACCATTGGCAGAATTTTATCAGTTTTGACAACCTTCAATGGATCAAGTGGAACTCTAAACAGGAAATTGGTAGACCAAATAGAAGAAAGGTACCTTGGTTCATTTTATATGTGTATACTTGCTGGGAATTATGGGTTTTGAGATGTAAAAGACTTTTTGATCTATATGATAACATACATGTGTTGGATGTTAACAAATGCATTATGAAAGCACAAATAGAAAACCAACTGTTGGGGAAAGTTTGCAACAAGAGGAATGCCCTGGAACGCCAATCTGTTTGGCACCCATCAAATCCGGGTTTCTTGAGAATAGACATCGATGTGTCAGTGATGCCTTATGGAAACACAACCTGTGGAGGTGTAATCACAAATGAACAGGAGTCTTGGGTTTTGGGGTTTTGCCGTAAATTGAAGAACCTGCCACCTACAATTGCAGAACTTATTGGAATCAAGATGGGATAGAATTTTGCTGGAACCATGGCATTAACAACATTGAAATGTTCAGTGACTACGCTGTTGCCATAAATCTTATTTCACGTGATCAAGTGTTTAGCCATCCTTTCCAAGACTTGATTGAAGAGACAAAATCTTTATTTTTCAAAAGCTGGAATGTGTCTTTAAATTTTATGTTTAGGGAAGCTAACCGTCTTGCTCATAATTTAGCTAGAGCTTGTCACTCTTTTGATAATGATTTGTACATCTTTGATAAAAAACCACCATTCCTATAATGGGGATAGTTGATGAGAGATTTAATTGTAATTTTTTGTAGACTTTTGTCCCCTATTTCTCTTTTGGGTTAGTAATATATATTCTTTCCATTTTTTATTGTCGGACATTTTTTAATCATTTCACACATATTAAAAAAATTAATTTTTTTTCTTGATATCATAAAAAATGAGATGTACTTTCATGTTTACTCTTAACTTTAAATCATTATACAACTATATTAAATGTTGTTACGTTAATCAAGAAAGAGTAAAATTAAAAAAATTAATTTAATTATTATAAAGTGTTGTACATTTTAGACTAAAAATTACTTTTAAAAAATGTTTTACAAATAGGATAGAAGGGAGCAAGCGAGTGCGTGCACACACACGCACACGTATATATATTATTCACACATCATAGTATATTTTAAGATAAAAGAGCAAATTGGCTCCTCAACTATAAGTTCATGAGCATTTGGAATTTTAAACTCATTTTTTTGTATAATGTTTCCTTTTAAGTTTTAAAAACAATGCAATTTGATCCTAATTGTTAACAAATTTAATTGACCATTAGTTGACTAGAAAATAATAGAAAATGACCTCAAAAATTATTAAAAAAAAAGGATCAAAATTTTAGTTTGTCAAAAATTTATTTGTAAAAATTAATTTAATAAAAGTTAATTGTTGTAATGAAATCAATTTACTCAAATAATATTGGGTGTCCGTGTCTCCAAAGTGCAAAGTTATTTTTTGCATGTGAAAAAGGGAGTTACCAAGGGTCCATAGTTTCAATTTCACTTTATATTTTGTCAATCACATGTCGTTGATGGATTTATGCACTTCGATCGAACTTGTGATTAAATTCTACAACTTATTTATCATATCATTTTTTTGTAGCAATTGTCTTTGCAAATATTGCAATTTGCAACCACTAGCAGGCTGTGGAGGAGTAATTAGAGGTGAAGCAGGCTAATGGATTTTCTGCTATTGTAAGAAAATTGCCTAGCCTTCCTGCTGTAATTGCTAAAATATGTGGAATTACCAATGGTTTAGAAATTTGTTGGAATCATGGTATTAGAGATGTTGAGGTTTGTCGTGGTTGTTCATATGCTTTCAACCTTCTGACTAGAGGCCAAATCTTGGACCACCCTTTTTCAGGATATCATTCAAAGGGCCAGAGAATATTTATTTCATAGATGCAATGCTTTTATTAAAAGCGTGTAAAAAAATATGTTATTGTATTGCTGACTATTTAGTTAGGAAAAGTCATGAAATTGATGCTGATTTTTTTATCTTTGAACAATTCGTACCATTCTGTCAAGGAGTTGTGGTTGATGAAGGATGAGCCTTCTCTCCCCTTGAGCTGCTCTTTTGTATTTGTTGTTTATTCTATTGAATATTAGTTTCTCTTTTTATAAAAAAAATAAGTCTTTAAAGTGATTTTTTGCATTTCTCCACCCTCTTAAATTCTTGTCACGAGGCATGCGAATGATGATAGGAGGGAGTTTATTGCCACTAATAATATGTGAACTTGTTTTGTTATTACCTAAGTGAAGTTGTTACTTGTATTGAAAATAATATAATTTTTAGATCCTAAATTTTTTATGAATTATCAATTGATTAGCATGGAATTGGAATTGGAGAAGTTGAATTGAAAAAATAAATTATTTGATATGATGGATATCACTTTTCTAAAGAATCAAATTCCATCAAAATTGGTAAAATTCACTTTCACCTTCCTATCCATGAACCTACTTCCTTCTCACTTCCTTCATAAAAAATACCTCATTTTCATGTACAAACCAAACATATTTTAAAACTCCACTTTCACTTTTACTTTCTCTTTCATAAAATACTCTTTCATGCTACCAAACGAGACATTAGTTCTCAATCACAACTAGCTATCAGTCACAACTAACACGTTCTCATAAATATTTGTTTCATATTTTCAATGTATATTTGAGTGTTAAAATAATTGAGCACAAGCTGATTGTTAATGGAGTACAAATCCTAGAATCATATGATGATCTTATGACAACAACCATTATATATATATATATATATATAATGACTGCACGATACAAGAGTACATTGCAAATTATAACCCTATAAATGCACCACTGATGAAGTCAAGCAATTAATACTTTTGCAATTTGAAGAAGAATGAAAAGGGGGAAAAAAACAATTTTAATGTGCAGAATGGCAGAACTGGGCAATCTGATATTATATATTAGTTAGGTCAAATAAAACAACAAACATCTGGTATAGAGTATATACATTCATCTTTCTGAATAACATCTCTAAAGGGCATGAAAACCCTATAGTTACACAATAATCTAATCTGATATGGATTTATTTCCGCCAAAATATTCAAACAAAAGTAATCAATAACCTTTCCGATCAATGTTCTTCAAAGTGGATGTTTCCAATTCCATCTGGTACAAGGCTTTCCACATGCTTGAAAAAACTGTCCACATAATTGAAAAAATAGCCACCTCTGGGGATAGCAACCTTCTTAAATTCATTAGTAGTCATATTCAACAGATATATAACAGCCTTTTGTTCGTCATTCTCCACTTCACCTTCACTTTCATCGGTATTTCTATGCATTCCAGAATCAGAACATACCATTTCATTCCTCCAAATGCACCCAAGTTGTAACATGTTGGAAGGGCCCTTGCAAGCACATTTCTTAGTCGAAGACCATCTCTCCGTAGATGAACCTATACCCTCCTCTAGCACCCACAAATCAATCAAAGAATATAGATAGTTTAGAAAGTTTCCAATGTTAGATAGAGAAAGTGCAGCAAATTTGTCCTCATTCACAGTAAACTTATAATTTGAATAACAAGAATCAGGTATAGGAGGCCATTGTATCAACTCAAACACTTCCATTGCTATGTCAATAAAACTATCAAATCAGAATCATATTCACCCTCCTCTTTCTTTTGACCATGCCAAAAGATAGTTCCGTTTGCTGTGACAGTATCCTGAATAAAACGTACACCCTCCAAGCTTCCAAATTCTATTTCCTTCCACAAACCTGTACTTAACGAATACACTTCAACTCCACTAATCACATCATCATAATCATAAGTTTTCACTATCTTATAGTCATTAACAATTGCACTGAACCCAAATCCTAATGTGTATATACACTCACCAAACTTAACAGTTCTGGTCCTAGGTATCTGTCTGACCTCTCCAATAGCAGGATTCCACAGTAAAAGGGAATTGCACAAAAGAAGGGAAGAAGTAGATATATCAGTCTCATGGATTGCAACACAGAGCAAGCCATTGCTGGAACCGATGATCTCAACGTCCCGTAAGGAACCGATCAAAGGTGCGTTATGAACTTCATGGACATGCATCTCGCGATCGAGCGAACGCAATTGCAAAGGCTCATACATACTGTTCTGTTGGATAAGAAGAGAAGGGCTTTGATGAGTGGAGTGGTGGAGGTGGTCAGCGATGAAAAATGGCGTTTTGAAGAGATTCTTCCAATGTTTGCAGACACATTGAAATCGGATTAGGGATTTGACAGGGAGTCGTTTGAGAATGTTTCTGATTATGTCTTGGAAGAAATGGCGCGTCGCCGTGCACTTGCGTCTGACTCATAGTGCTTGACAGGAAAGAACAGATCTCGCAAAGGAAATTAGAACAAATTGAAGGAAGAGAATCAAAACCATGCACCTGAGCTTCAAGTCGTCAACCGAGAAGAAGGAACATCGCAGAGTAAAGCCGTCGCAATCAATGAGGGATTTCATGAGTCCCCCTGAAGACAAGGAGAAGACGGCCGCGACCCAAGTTTACATATTACTTCCACTTCACGGAAAACGATTTTTTTATTTTTAACACGGGTTGGTAGAAAAGAAAAACTTTTTTTTAATACGTAATTATTACTTTTCTTAAAGTATCCTGATAATGACTTTATATTTATTGTAAGTATTTAATAAAATAAATATAAAAAAATAAAGTTAGTTTAAAAATAGGTAACTACTTTATTGGCGATGAGATTTAATTAAAAATATTTTATATTTTTTAACGGAAGGAGTAATTTGCACTACATTTTAGATATTCTGTATAAATATTTAAAAGTGGTTGCTGAAAATAATAGGAAGGGAATTGATTAAAAAATAAAATAATTAAAATATTAAAGAAAAAAATCAACCATATGTCAATAAAAGAAATAATCATGGGAGAATTTCAAATAACGATCATAGATATGACATAATTACTAATGCATCTTAAAAAATTTTAAAATTTTAGTTTCGGAGGATAAAAGTAAAAATAATTGTAATTGTGAAAAGACGAAAGTACTTTTAACTTGTCATGTAAAATCATTAGTTGTTAATTTTCTTATTTCACCTATTAATTTACTAATATAAGATACAAATTACATGAGTTAATATGTCAATAATTATATAAGACTTATATTAGTTGTTCAATCATAAGTAACAATATCAATTATTAAATTATTAACTTTACTTATTAATTTATTAACATTAGTTCTAAATTACTGATAAATCTTGTAATTTACTAATATCAACTATAAATTACTAACAAGTCTTGTAATTTATAATTAATGTTGGTAAATTAAAAAATAAAGTTAGAAAATTAATGGCTAATGTTACTACTTGTCTAACAAATTGATATAATTTACAAGTGATATAAAAAAATTAATAAGTGAAGTAAGAAAATTAATAACTAATAATTCTGTTTGAAAAGTAAATGGTACTTTTATTTTTAATAGTTAAAATTATTTTTACTTTTATCTTTTAAATTGAATTAAAATTTTAAAATTTTTTAAAATTCACTAAAAATTATATCACATTCCTAATCATTATTTAAAATTCTCCCAATAATCAACTAATCCAAAAAGTTAGTAGTCATAATTCACAACATTTGTGAAGTTTTTGATGATTTTCATGTTATATGATATGTAATGTTAAGTTTTATTATATTCATAGAGAAATATAATTTTATTAATTTGGTTAAAAGAGGGAGAAGAATAATTTATTTTTTTATTCATTCTATTCCTATCTTTCTTAATAATTAAAAAGCTAAATATACAGTGCATAATGCGTATCAAATATATATATATATATATACACACACAGCGCGGAGCAAAAGCCATGCCAGATCTGAATTTTTCGGTTACTGTCCAATCAAACAACTAATAATGAGATCCCATTTCAATGTCATCTGGGATATATTATTAATTTAAATATCTATTCTCTCTATTTAAAAATATAATATATTTTTAATTAAATTTTATTTTTTAATAAATAGTTACTTATTTTTAAATTAATCCTATCTTTTTATATTTATTTTTATTAAATATCCTATGATAAATAGAAAATTACTATTAATGGGGGCACTTTAAAAAAGACAATGATTACATCTCAAAAGATTAAAAATGCTTTACATTTTTAAAACTCAACTCCTCAAAAAATATCTTACATTTTTGAACGGAGGGAATATTTCATTTTATAAGAATTTAATAACCATTTATGTGAAATACTCTTCATTTTTTTTTTGGATAAATTATACACCTTAAATTTTCGAGGGGAAAAATCTTCAATTGGTGGCATGAGATTGAACTTTTTCACAACGTATTTGTGTTGTTCCATTCCATTATCTTAATATCTTTTTTGAAATTTTTGTTTGAGTTAATATTACTTTTTTTAAGTCTTCAACTATTTTGTGAAATCACATGGATTTGTAGAAAAATTGAATTATGCAATATTATCACTAAATACTATTAATTATGGCAAGCCATGTTAGCTAGCCTCCGTAACATGCACAAGTACTGAATGGAATCCATGTTTACAAATTTTATTAAAGTTTAAGAAAGTTAAAGTTTAATGCCAGTACTTTGAACGAAATTGTTTCTAATAAGATGAGATCTATGAGTAATTAAAAAATAATATTTTAAATATAATATATAATATTTGTTTCTTTAATAAATACATCTTTTTATTATTTAGTCATTAACCTTTTAAAATATATTATTTACAATTCATAGTATATGTTAGGGCAAAAGAGTATTTGGTGCAATGTTAGTTGACCAGGAGCGTTGGGCATTATAAATTTATTTTTAATGTAATATTTTTTTTAACTTTAAAATAATGCAATCTGACTCTTATCATTAACAAATTTAATTTTAATTGTTAGTTAAGTAAAAATGATTCTAAAAGTTATAAAAAAAATGATTAGAAGTTAGTTTGGAAAAAGTTCATTTGAAAAAAAAAAAAAGTTAGTTGTTATAATAAAATTTATATTTGAATGTAGTTTTTAAATATTAGTTTGGTAAACTAAAAATTATTTAAATTATATATAAAATAAATATGCTTTTTAATATATAATTATAAAAATTTATTGGTTTTTATAATTTTGTAATTTTGTTATAAAATGTTTCGTATCAATAATGTTTGAAAACTACATATTATAAAAATTTTAAACATAAAATTTGATATTTAATATTTATTTAAGTTAAAGGGAACTTCACAGTTAAGGGAACTTCACAATTATAAAAATTGAAATTCTTTATTTTATTTAAATACAATTAGATAAAATATGTGCATTAAACATAATTTAAAACCCAATGTTCATAACTAATAATTAACATTAAGACATATTATTAGTTATTATATAAATTTGGTTTAACTGTAAAAATACAAAATAAATATTAATTTATATATGGATGATTGGATCACATTATAATTTTCTCGAGGTTACAAGAAAGGTTATGGGCCCGAAGTTTCATTCATTGTGAATTGTTACCATATCAACCCCTGGCTCAATGCACTTTTAGTGTGTTTTGGATAACATCCTAACTTAAGTTGGGATGGTCCAAACTTAGGTTGAGATATTAAAAGATTAAAAAATATGTTTGGATTAAAAAACATGTCAACTAACGTTATGATCCAAATGAGCGTTTTTGACAAAGCTGATTGCTCTAGCTTTTGCACTGAGCGTTGGCTGGAAATGAGCGTTAGGGAGCATTTAATGTCAGGTCTCTCCCTTTTGTCCTCACCCACCGCACTACGTGATTGCTCCATCAATGTTGGGTTTTGTTCATCCATTTTTTTTCTTGTTCTGTCATTGTGGAGCTTGCTGCCAGTGAAGGATTGAGGGGGAAAACATAAGGCAAACCTAAAGAACTTGAATAGAAATGATTACCTGGATGAGACATATTATAGCCAACGCTAGTGTTTTATCTAAAAGGACAACCTTAGCTTTTGAATTTTTGTTT